GAGCGCTCTCTCTCTCTCTCTCTCTCTCTCTCTCTCTCTCTCTCTCTCTCTCTCTCTCTCTCTCTCCCAGGCTCTCAGCCACCAGAGCAAGTGGGAATGCCAAGATGAGGTAGAAAAGGGCTCTCAAAGCCCTGTGAGGTTTACACAGAAAACAATAGTGAGCATCACATGTCCTTCTGAAACTATGTTCTCAATTCCACGGATTCTTGAGATCATTGATCCGGACATTCTACCCACAGGGAGCTTTTCTCAGAAGCCCTCTTACCTCCCAACACATCTTGAAACAACACACCCTTGGCTCCTCCTTGGTTTTCAAATCCATCATATCGTTATTACAGTTTGTTTCCAGCTAACCAGCCCCTGCACGCCCAGCCCCCCTGCATTTCCAGCCTCTGCATGCCCAGCCCCTGCATGCCCTCTGACTCTCAAGTTTTAATGTTTGATGTAATCCTCAGGACAGCCCTGGGAGGCAGAGCTGTCAGAACTATTACTCTTCATCTGCATGTTGAAAAAAATCACATAACTGTTAACCGTTAATTCATGAACCTACTCAAGAAAATATTTGTTAAATGCCTGCAAAGTGTCGGACACTATGGTAGACTCCAGGCACAAGGAAGGATGGGAAAAAGATGTGGCCCTGGTCTTAAGGGAGCTGAGAGAGAGAGAGAGACAGAGAGAGAGAGAGAGAGAGAGAGAGTGGTCAAGAGGGGCACAAGCATCCCATTGAGAATGAGGGGAGGGTGAGGAGAGGAAGAGGTCAGCGAGCAAAATGGGCAGCCGAGGACCAGCACACAGACCCTGTGACGGCAGAGTCGGGTGTGCCTGAGGCACAGAGGGCTGGGAAGGAGGTAGGGCACACAGTTCAGGATGAAAACATGACTAGAGTCCCCCCCCCACACACACACACCTATGGAAAGGCCAGGGGTTTTATTCCTGATTTAGGATAAACTCTGGAGTTTTAACAGAAAGGCAGAATTGTGCTTCTAAGCGGTGTCTATGTGCAAAGGCGGGGCAGGCACCAGGGGCCAGCAGTCCAGATGGACACATGACCATGCAAACCCCACTCACTGCAGCTGCGTCACCTACTTGTAAAGCAATGGAGACGTTTGATTCTTGCTCGTCTATGGATGGGGAACCTGAGCCATGAGGAAATGCTCCTTCTGGGGCCTTTGGTTCCCAGTGAGTGTAGAAAGTACATTCTGTGTGCCACAGGGTCACACTAGCTGACGGAGGTGTAATGCCACTCTCAGTTAGGTTTCTCGAATTTCCCGATACTGCAGGCACTCGAGGCCATCGACAAGGCTCTTCAGCTGAAGCCCAGGGACCCAAAAGTCGTATCTGAACTCTTCTTCACAAAAGGAAACCAGCTGAGAGAGCAGAACCTTCTGGACAAAGCTTTTGAGGTAAGGCCAACTAAACAGTCATTAAGTTTACAGGTTTAAATGAATATCACAGCCAATGAGGGAGTCTAGGTGTAAACTCCAGTCATTGGTGGTCTGTAGCATGAATGTTGTGATTAATTGACAGTGCTACAGACTCGCTTCCTTTGGCCTCTGGTTTTTGATCACACACACACACACACACACACACACACACACACACACACACACACGCACACGCACACGCACACATAAACACACACATACATACACACATACACACACACTCACCACACACACACATACACACGCACACACACATACACACACACACACACACACTCACACTCACCACACACGCACGCACACATGCACGCACACACATTCGCATATACACACACACACACCACCGCCTCTGTGTTATCTCTTAAAAGTATGGTAGATGGGGAAGCATTCAAAGCTCCCAAATTCTGGAATTCTGAAGAGACACCTACACTGTGTGGTGATATCTTGCTTGTACAAATAAAGCCTGTCTGGGGGTCAGAGAATGGAGCTTGTCACTAGCTAACCATAGAGGTCGGGAGGTCTGTACAGACAGACAGGAAGTGAGGTAGCTGGGAGAAACAGGATCGATCTCTGCTCTGCTGAGACGCTGAGGAGGTAAGGTGTGGCTGTGGCTTGATATCTCAACATTTCCCTCTATGTCTGACTTCAGGTTTTTGTTATCTAGACCAAGTATGAGCTCCATGTACAACACCGTCTGTTTTGTCTTCAAGAAGCTCGGTCACAGCTGGACTGGAGCCCAAGTAGCTTTGGGCACTTACATGTCTGTGACACCTGCCATCACCTCTAGACTTCCTCTTATCCCCAGGGCTCTGTCTTTCCTGGGAAGACCCTCCAGACCATCCATTCCTGCAGTGACTTTTGTTCTAAAGCTTAATAAATATCACATCATGGGTGGCTCAGTGGGCCAAGGCACTTGCCTCCAAGGCTGACCACCTAGAACCTGCTTGGCGGAAGGAGAGTACTGACTCCTCCAAGTTGGCCTCTACCTCCACATGTGTGCAGTGACATGCATGTACCTACACACACACATACTAAAATGTTTAAAAACATTCCTATGTTAGCAGGATATAGAGATATAACTGGAGACAGAGAAAATAGGATGACAGGTTCAAGCCCAGTGAGTTCCAGGGTAACAAGGCTGTAATGAGAGACTCTGTCTCAAAAAAAAAAAAAAAAAAAAAAGAAAGAAAGAAAAAAAGAAAGAGAAATGAAGAAAAAATTAAACACTCCATCATTAAGGTATCAAGTCATTTGCCCCCAAGCAGCTAAAATTACAGAAGTGTGCCACCACATCTCAGCTTTGAAGAGCTTCCAAAAGGCAGAAGAAAGAGGTGTTGTGACCCCTATAAAGCAATGTGAGCGTGTTGCTTTCTTTAGATGTTTAGCAACAGGTTGGAGGTTGAAGGGCCTGGGCTATGGTTAAGCTGTTAGAAGAGCACCTTGGGTTCTATGGTTTCCTTTGTCTTTTCTTCTTCTTCTTCTTCTTCTTCTTCTTCTTCTTCTTCTTCTTCTTCTTCTTCTTCTTCTTCTTCTTCTTCTTCTTCTTCTTCTGCTTCTTCTTCTTCCTCCTCCTCCTCCTCCTCCTCCTCCTCCTCCTCCTCCTCCTCCTCCTCCTCCTCCTCCTCCTCCTCCTCCTCCTCCTCCTCATCCTTATTGAGAGCTGGGGATAAAGCCCAGGGCCTCACATGGACTGAGCTTGTGCTCTGCACTGAGCTACTCTCCTTAGATTCTGTAATGCTGACAGCAGTGCTCCTCATCAGCTCATTTATGGTGAGGAAGGCTAATAAGCACAGCCTTCCTGCAGAGCCAGAGAAACGAGCTGTTTCAGAAGTCCCTGGGTCCCCACCAGCAGGCCAGAGATCTGCTGTCACTGAAGCCCCTGGGGTCTCTCCACTTCAGAACCATCAACTCTAAAAGGATAGCAGACTAAACCTGCCACCCGCTAAGTGGCCGTTAGCGACCAGGGCCTCCACACAGGCAGGGGTTTGCACAGTTCCAGGGCACCTTAGACACTGTGTCTCATGTCCTAACATGAAACTTTCCTTCTCTGCTAGAGCTACGAAGCTGCTGTGACCCTGGATCCCGACCAGGCACAAGCATGGATGAACATGGGTGGTATCCGACACATCCAGGTAGGGGTGGCACTCACTGTGTTCCCATCCTAACCCTGGCTCAGAAGCCACTGTTTGTAGTCAGAGTTTCTCTCCCACCTGGTCCACAACTGTCTAGCCCCAAGTGAGACATAGAGAATTTTATTAGTTAGAAACTGTTTGGCCGATGGTTAGGGCTTCTTACTGGCTAGCTCTCTCTTAATTATGAACCCATTACTGTAAATCTATGTATTGCCACAAGGCTGTGGCTTACCAGTAACCTGGTATGTTACTCCTTCGTCAGCATGGTGTCTCTCTCCAGGCTTCTCCTGGTTGGGTAGCCCTGCCTATGCTTTCTGCCTGGCTTCTGGCCAATCAGTGTTTTATTCATCAACCAATAAGAGAAACATATACAGAAGGACATTCCCATCAACTGTTCATCATCTCTCTTAAATCATTTCAATACTTAAAACAGGCATTTTGAAAGTAAAATTCAGAAGAGCTATGTTTTCTGAATAGTGAATATCACGGGCCTGTTTAAATGTTTATAAACTCAACTCCACGATACTGTGGATCGTAAGGAAATCACATGTGTGAGAAGAAGGGTTACCAGACAATGGCTCAGGTCTGAGTGCCCTAACCTGTGAAGCCTGCCAACGCCCCAGCAATACCAGACTGTTAATCTAAATACACCCTTACTATTTCTTATTTTTTATTATATGTGAATGTGGTTGTGGGTTTATACGTATGAGTGCGATGCCTTCAGAGGTCAGAAGAGGGTGTCTTTGGGTCCCCTAGCCCTGGAGTTAGGGGCCCTTGTAAGATGCCCAGCACAGGTGCTGAGAACTGAACGTGGGTCCTCTGTATTTAATGTTAGGAAGCTCTACCCAGCCCCACTCCTCTCATTCCAGACCCTGGCCTTGAGAAAGCCTGCTATCAGTGGCTCCTCCCCCTGGGATGCTCAAGACCACACCTACAGGCTGTTTAAGATTGGGTCCTCACCTGCCACCTGGTTCTCCCTTGTGGTTTCTCCCCTTCCCCTGGGAGCACCCGGGAATGCTTTGCTCAGATTAAACCTGATTTTACCTATTTGGCCTAATCTGATTTAGTGCATCAGCAGAGAAACACTTTTCATTTATAACTTTCTCAGGTGGAATATACCAGAAATTAAAGTTCGGTTGTTAATTTGAAGTAGAAAGGATATACCTGAGAGCATTCAAAAGAGTAAATAGTGTAATTATTTCTGTATTTAAACTCAGAGCTGTATGTTGGTAAAACAGAGCTCTGGAGATTGAAGCAATATCTGCTGGGTATAATGTTTTCAAATTTAATTGACATTCATTTAAAAGAACCAGCCTTTGTCACTGCAGACATCATGGATTAGCTTGAGCAATAGGAAACTCCCCCATCCACAGTGAAACAATTCAATGGGTAAATTTGAATAATGTGATCTGATATAAATGTGTGTAGTGGGCACATAGCTTGGCAGTGGTCATTCTGACACCACCATAAAAGTCTAGGATTATCACTGAAGGCACACAGGAACAATCCTGAACTTTCTGTGTCTTTTGCAAGAGTGTTCATCACTGGAGAGGTGGCTCAGCGGTAAAGAGCATCAGCTACTCTTCCCCAGGTCCTGAGTTCAATTCCCAGCAACCACATAATGGCTCACAACCATCTATAATGAGATCTGGTGCCCTTTTCTGGCTTGCAGGCATAAATGCAGGCAGAACACTGCATGCATAATAAATAAATAATAGTGTTCATCACAACGTCACCCATCCTGGTCCTAGCCCCTGCCCTGTGCCTGGGGTATAGAGCTCTGAGGGATATGGAGGTGAAGAATTGAAATAAGGCTTTGAGAGGAGGTAGCACAGGAATAGGGAAAAGACAGTGAAGGTTGTGGCTGCCCCAGGAAGGAAGGGACATAGTCACACAATGTGTCTAAGGTCAGTGCTGTGACCTGAAGTGCCTCAGATGTGGACAGTCAAGTCTAACTGCAGCCCCTGCTGCTAATTGTATGGGGTATTTTTAGTGTGTCTGCATTTGGATGGTAGGCCATTCCATGAGGTCCATTACAGAAGCCTCTCTTGATGGTATCTTGTCTGTTCAGAAAGTGTCAGGCTTTGAACAATCTGCATTTTGGGGGTTAGGGATGCTCACTCTCTGATACGTTCCATGAACTTTTATGTGAGGTGAAGTAGATGGGCTGGAATTTCAAGCTGCAATGGGAGTCTGTCATCCATGCCATATTTCAAATACTGTTTCAGCTTGGCTTGATGACGACTTTGCAGAATGGTGTTGTCTAAAAGAACTCTCGGTCTGATGAGGGTGTCCCATGTCTTCACTGTCCAAGGAGCAGTGACTGGCCATGGCAACGGGGCACAGGAAATGTGTCTGGTATGACTGATGGTTTTTAGTCTTAATTAATTAAAATTCAGTTCTAGAAATCAGATAATTCTAGTTCCTACATAGCATAGAATTAGAGTCATTGACTTAAGGGATATGATTTCTTTTTCCAAAATAAATAAATAAATAAACAGGATTTACAGTTTCATCAAGAAAAGAGAACTTTGAAGTAGAGAGGGGAAACTGGATTTTGTGTAAAAAAAAAAGAAACCCAGTGATCTGAAACAATGCCAAAGTTAAGGATGAGGCCTAAATTCAGGGTAGCCTCCAGGGACAGTTTGAGGGCCTGCTGCGTGGAGAATCTTGCCATCGAGCCCTTGGATCCACAGCCTGCAGGTGCCCAAACGTACATTAAGCTTAACAGAAACCAGAGGCTTGGAGGAGGAGTTAACAAAACAACAATGCAGCAGAAGTGTGCTCCTTGTTCCAAGTCATAGGCATAAATTGTCAGATATAACTGTCTACTGCACAAACCAGTGCAGGCTTCTCAGTGTGCAATTCCTTTTTCTCTTGGTTTTTGGAGGTTGATTTTGTTTGTTGTTGTTGTTGTTGTTGTTGTTGTTGTTGTTGTTTTCCGGCATTTCCACGCCGTCTTACAGCAGCTGCACGCATAAACAAACAGCATGAGAACTAGAAAGTGAGTCATGGAGACTGAACAGTCTACTCAGTGGAGACTGAACAGTCTACTCAGTGATGGGGGGTAGCTCGAGCACCCTGTTGAGGTCTCACTGTATATCAGGCCGGGTCTAAGCTCTTGATACACACGAACACATGTGGGAAGATGCTTCCGCCTAGGTAGGCATTAGCCGCTGGTTTGGGGAGGTGCTGTTTTGAATTGTGGTGAAGTTTAAAACATCGCTGCGTCCACCCACGTGGGAGCCGCAGCTGAGGATGATGTAAAAGTCGATGTGTTGTTTTAGAGTGGGAAGAAATTGGGCAGCTCCCCGGGGAAGGCGTAAAGCCCCAGATAGGAGAGACGGAGGAAAGAGTCCTAGCTCAGTCCAGCCTGGTGAATCGATGAGTTCCTATTTTAGTCTCAGGAGTGTGTGTGTGTGACTCCAAGGTGTTAAGGTAGAAGCTTCACCTCAGTCGCTGGCATCCATATATACCCAAAGAGTCTGAAATGTTATGGTGGAAGCTCCACCCAGGTCCCCCTCCCCGATCTCCCTCCAAACCCTGCTGCATCTCAGAAAGCCCTGCAGAGATGGGCAACACCACTCCCACAGGGTGTTTAAACTGCTCCCACAGAAACCAGACTTGTGGTTTTTCCAGTCTCCCTTTCCCATCTCCTGTGGGGGGAAGAGGGGCGTGGCCTGGAAGGCCATTCGGGAGCACTGCATCCATTAAACGTGGGCTTTTTCTAATTCGGTCTGATGTGGGTGGCTGCATCGACGGAGAGGCTTGCTTATCGGGGTGCAGAAACTTTTCAGAAAGCACCAGCATCACCGAGAGCCCATCTCAGCTGTGTCTCCAGAGCTGCCTGCCCAGTCTCAGCCACCTGGAGTCCCCTCCCTCAACTTGCAGCCACTGTTGACTGCTTATGTGACCTCAGAGAGGGGCCCCAGAAGTCCTGCAAGTCTCATGAGCTTCCCGCGCCTTGCTTGCTGAGGAAACAGCAGACACTGTAACAGAGAGTCTTGGGCTCTGCAGGACTCAGAACGGCAAGGCTGCACTGGAGGAGGGAGATGAGCGTTAGGCCGTAGAGAGGGGAGCAGGAGAAGCTACTGGCCCTGACCAGCTGGGCCCAGGCACACACAAGTTATTAAACAGATGAATGCTGACAAGAAGTGGGGGCGGGTGTGCTCAGCAGGTCAGAGGTCCCATTCCTTCTTCCCTCCCTCCTGCAGCAAGTGTCTAGCTGGTACTTTTCAACCACATACCCTGGCTAGGAGATAAACCTGTGTCCATCTTTAAGGGGTTTGGGTTTTTTTTTTTTTTAAGATTTATTTCCTTTATATGTGTGAGATTTGCCTGTTTGTATGCATGTATGTACGTGCACCGTGTGCTGCCGTGCTCACAGAGGTCAGAAGAGGGTGTTGGATCCCCTGAACTGGAGTTACAGACGGTTGTGAGCCATCATGTGTGCATGTGTGTGCTGTGAATAGCACTGACCCCAAGGGCCCCCTAGAAGAACAAGTGCTCTTAACCATCCTCCCATCTCTCCAGCCCCAAGTCCACCTTTAAATCAAGCCTCAAATTGTGTAAAACTGCATTAGGCAAAGGCTGATATTGTGTTTCAAGTTGAAGATTAGAACAAACTTAGAAAATAAAATAGATGTCTGTTTAATTATTGCTCTCCCTCCCTCCCTCCCCACCCCCCTACCCCAAGCCTATTTGCTTACCGAGAACAGCAGACCAGTGCTAACCTCCCAAGAATACTACAAAAAGACCGCCTCCTCCTTCCCCTTACTAGGAAAGCTGAAAAATGTGTTTCTGCCATTTAACTTATGGTGTAGCAGCTATCAGACTCCACGTTCTCCAGCTGGTCTGGTTCGTTCTTCCTTCCTTCCTTCCTTCCTTTCTTTCTTTCTTTCTTTCTTTCTTTCTTTCTTTTGTTTTGTTTTTTGAGACAGGGTCTCTCTGTGTAGCTTTGGAGCCATCCTGGAGTCCAGGCTTGGATTAAAGGCATGTGCCATCAATGGCCCCGGCATGGTCTGGTTCTTAAAACAAATGGATTCCCCCAAAGCACCCCAAGAGATAAGGATTAAAATATTCACAGATAAGGTTTCCTTTGGGGAACCTGAACTGGAAGGGCAAAGGGCGGGGAGAGAGAGAGAGAGAGAGAGAGAGAGAGAGAGAGAGAGAGAGTGTGTGTGTGTGTGTGTGTGTGTGTGTGTATGTGTGTGTGTGTGGGGTCCTTCCTCTCATCCTCAGAGGGTTATGCTAAGCAATCTTTCTCTTGTTCTACCCCCCACCCCCAGGGAAGCTATGTGTCTGCAAGGGGCTATTATGAGAGAGCCCTGAGGCTGGTTCCAGACAGCAAGCTGCTGAAGGAGAATCTAGCCAAGCTGGATCGCCTGGAGAGAAGGTTACAAGAAGTCAGAGAAAGGGATCAAACATAGACCCAAGGACAAAGTCAGTGGGACTCAGCAGGCTGGATGAGAACAGAAGGAGGCCTAACACACAGTGGGCCCGCCAGCCAGGCAGTCCCCTCCTGGTGGCACAGTAGTGCTGAAAGAGTTGTTTCCTTGAAGGGACAAACAGCAAAGAGGAGCAAACAGTCTGAAGGGAAGGGAAATAGCATGTGTGCTTACAGGCTCCTCCCGTGTCACTCCCAGTCCCCAGGATACAGAACTCCATTCTTACTGTAGCCCAGAAACACAGAAGCTTGAAGTTCTGTAGAGGAGACAGCTATTGGTAAGGAAGGCTGTATCCTGTGAAGTCAGCCCTTGGGGAAATCTACTCGTAGAAGTTAGTTAATTCTCAAGAATCCAGAGTGGGTGGTGAAGAGCATTGGTAGAGGCTTTGTGAAGGCTCTGGGGCAGAGCACTTGATCGGCAGGCTTGGTCTAATATCCCCCAAGAGTATCACTGAGGACCTTTGGAGAAGTACATTAAATTCCACTCTGATAGACGTTTTTTTCCAGTGCCTAAAACACGAGGGGACCGTCTAGAATCATACGTGGGTATCATTATCTCTACAGGAGAAAGCTTCCTGAGCAGTTAAAAACAAAAGTTCAGATTTTGCTTGATTAGTTATGGGAATATTTTTAAGTGTTTGAATTGTATTCCAGACGTTGCTAGAGTTGTGTCTCCACTCTGAAACTTCCCAGTGTGTTAGCCAAAAGATTGCTGCCACCTTGAAATATGCTGCTTGTGTGTGGAGCGGTGGGGTGCAGGGTGCACTCTGCCTGGAAGTGTTAGAGAGCCAGTCCAGAGAGGTGCTCTCCTTTATTCTCTTAAGGTCAAGACATCATGAGATTTATTATTTTTGAAAGATATATTTAAGCATCAAGGAACCTTTACATTGTGTTGCAGAATTCCTCCAGGACTGAGTTGAGGGGAAGAGAGCTCTATTTATTGAATTTTGAGGTTTAGTGGGAATTGTATTCTTAAAAGACAAAGTGACTCTCTGCTTGGCAAGTTTTCAGACTCCACAGAGAATGCTCTGAAACTCTTGGGTAAAATCTAAATTCATAATTTTTTAAAAATATATTTATATTTAAAAATGAGGAAGGCAAAGCTGAAATCATAATTTGACATTATTTTAGTGTTATTTATTGTATAACTTATAAAATATTTAATATATATATATATCCACATGTCTGATTTTTTTTCCTCTGTACATAGCAGCTGCCAAAACCAATCATATGAAAACTGTAAAACAGGAAAGCTTTAACAATCTCCCCTGAATTATACTGGTTATTAATTTCCACTTATGGAAAGCTAATGGAATTAGGGGTCAGCTCAGTGTTTGGGTATCAGTGAAGGAGCTGGAGCACCTGCTTTTAACTGGGTACTAACCACTGAAAACAGAAACCCTCAGGTAATGCAGGTCCCGAAGCTGAGCCAGCTGTCACACAACCATGACAAGGTTGTCTCACCTGTACAGCCAGGCCAGAGGGAGAGCCCTCTGCTTCTTGCAACCCAGCATTGGGATGCAGTGCCTCTCTGTGTTATTTTTTTTTCTGGCAGGTAAGTTGAAATAAATGGCTGAAAACTTATTTGAAAAGGCATGGTGAAGCCAGGGAGTGGTGGTGCATACCTTTAATCCCAGCACTCGGGAGGCAGAGGCAGGCGGATCTCAGTGAGTTCAAGGCCAGCCTGATCTCCAGAGTGACTGCCAGGACAGCCAGGGCTACACAGAGAAACCCTGTCTTGACCCCTGCCCCCCTCCCCAAAGGGGGTTTGACTCAGTGCACACCTACGCTTTGGAGCTAGTATCTGTCACTATCACCTGATTATGTAATTGTCTGTCAGTGTTACATATCATAAATTGATCCGGAATCTCAATTTCTTCCATCTAAGACATAACATCTTTAGTACCAAGGTCAAAAGTATGTACTACAGCGTTTATTATAAAGCAGTTCCAAGCCCCCTAATTTGGAAAGCAGGGGGTACTTGGCAACATCTTAGTACTACTTTTTAGAATAGCGTTTGACCAAAATGGGTGCATGGAAAACCAATGGGACAGATTGAACTGCAGAGTTTGACATAACTTTCCCTTGTGTAAAGTGCTACAGAAGGTCTCAGTGTAAACTTGTTAGAATAATTAAAAAGGCAATTACAACATAAACATTTCTGAGGAGAAAAAGCCACACATTGTCTAGGAGATTGCCGCCATCAGGCCTCTCTCCTTTCTCCTTTGTCTGCCCATTTTGGCACCTCCCTGAGCAGTAAAAACAAGCACTGCTTAAAAAGAAAAAACGAAATCTGCTTGCTTTGTTGGCTCGGATATTAAATAAGCCAATGAGATAGTTTTCATAGTAGAAATGTTGCCTGGGAGAAGAAAATCAGTTGTGAAGTGTTTCTCAAAGCTGTTGAGTGTGTCTTGTAACATGCTATTTGGCCCTGGTGATGTGGAATAATACCTGGGAGTCATTACAGTAGAAAGAGAGAGCCTGGCTTGTCTTGAAAATGCATCTGATTTGCCATTGGCAGGCGTGTGCTCCATGAGTGACTGGAGAGCTGTTTCTGAAACCTAGGAGTGGAGTTGGCTTTGTGCACTCAAGTACTCTGCTGGCAACACTAGCATTGTCCTTGTCTTCATCACTGGTACTGAGAATTGAACCCAGGACCTTGTACATACCAGGAAGCACTCCCCACTGAGCTCGTGTTTTTGCTTTTTTTTAAAACAAGGGTCCAGCCCTGTGTCTCAGAATTCTGTAACCCTGGGTTACAGAATTCTGTAACATAACCCTGGGTATGTTACAGGAGGCCACAAAGAGTGAATCAGGAGTTGATTTGCCTTGGTTGATCCTCCAGTATAGTGGCTCCTGGAGGTCTTTCCTCCCTTACACATTGAGCCATTCACATCTGTGTAACCCCTCCCCCACCGTTCCATGTCAGGCCTGTCAATCATCCCACCTAGACCCAGTCCTTGTCATGAAATCCATCCAGTGGCAGGATATTCACTTGCCCTTTGACACAGAAACTATAGGAATGGCTTTGTTGGCTTATTTTTAATTTAGGGATTATTCAGTCAGGATTTTTCAAAGTGATTCAAATGTTTCAGGTTATTAACCCTTTTATAAAATCTGTTTTGGTGGTGTAACTCAGGTGAATGAACCAAAAATGCAGAAACCATAGGGAAATAAGTACTTTGGGGGTGCTGGGTGCCTTGTTTGGGGTGCTGGGTGTTTGTTTGTGTGGTTCTGGGGCTAGAACTCCATGCACACCAGGCAAGCTGTCTGTCACTGGCTACCAGTGTCATCTCAGCCCTGGACTTGTTTATTTGGAAGGTTATGACAAAGCAAAGAGGTTTCTGGTCTTTATCAGTATGCAGGTTCTCCTCTGAAGTCTGCAGCAGAGTTTTCCACAGGCCTTTTTCAGTTTTCAGGCAAGACTAAATAAAAAATTCCACACCACACCGCAGAAGCCCACCTGAGGTGACTGAACCAAGGGAGAAAAGAAAGCAAGTGTCCCATTTCTTGTTAGCAAATGGTCTACATCCTTGTGATTACAGAGCAGCATGGACTTGTAGGAGGCCTCCCCTCCTGCACAGGGCCTCTCAGCACTGTCTGCCTTGAGAGAACAGCTAGGATTCTTCCAAACTCCCTAAGACCCAGCTCTCTGTTGCCAGCAAGGTCCTACAGAGCTGACTACTCTAACGAGGTTTATGATTTCTACCAAGGAGCTGTGAATAATATCGTGAAATTTTTATTTCTAGCTACTGGGCTAAAATGAGCCAAAGAATTCTAAAGGATGAGTCATTGCTCTGTGGGTTGGTCAAGGCTATTATTCCTAGACTGACTGGCAGGTAGCTGAGTAGGGTGTCTTTATGCTGTGGCAACTGAACTATAATTTGTCCTTCTATTTAGAAAATTCTTGGGTGTCAAATGGAGAGGCACCACCATTGCCAGTTGCACACACTAGGTTGTGTGAGGTTGCCAAAGAGAAAAAAATGAACAAAAAACCTGATGTCTTTTTTTACTCTTAGAAAATGTCCATGGCACAGAGATTGTCTCTTCCTGCCTGGCACACAGACACTAGGGCTTTGTTATTTAGTTCCTGATTGTACTCACTAAAACCTGTTTTTGGTGTCCTGAGTGTGGTGGCACACATCCTTAGTCCTAGCACTTGGGAAGCAGAGGCAGGCAGATCTCTGAGTTCAAGGCCAGCCTGGTCTACAGATCAAGTTTCAGGACAGCCAGGGCAATATAGAGAGACCTTGTCTCGAAAAACCAAACCAAACAAACAAACAAAACCACCTTTAAAAAAAGAGTCATAGGCAAAAATGTCTGCTCTTGTCTGTGGTGGATCCATCCAGGGGAATGATAAACCTTCATGAGATTGGTAATGACACCGAAAGCATGAGGCTATGGTAGAAGTAGGCTGTTTCGTTTTCTTGTTTTCAAAAATCACACTTTAACTGTACATAGGCATCACCCTAATGCAGCAAAACCCAAGTCTCTAAATGCCACCATTTTACATTGAGCAGCAAAACCCAAGTCTCTAAATGCCACCGTTTTACATTGAAAAAGTGTAATGTCGTTCAAACATTCCTTTCAGACTGTAGCTGTATAAGCTAAGACTTTAGAGTACCAAGAACCAATATTTGGAAACATTATAATTCTTGCCATTATTCTCAGTTTCCAATGAAAACATGTTATATAGTTATGAAAACACTTCTAATGTTTTTGATTCTGTGAGTTCTTTGTTCCAAGAGAGGAGATAAAGTAATCTGAGTACAAAATGTGGGTTCGTATTAGAGAGGAACAACAAGATGGATAAAATACCTGGTGCAGTCAATTGGTTCATATTAAAATAGTCCATTTTCACCACCAGGGCTCTTTGGGTTAAAGCCATTGGCAACAACTTTAAAAACAACAAAACAAATAAACAGCACCTCACAATACACTGTCCTGGTCCAAGTGTAAATACAGGTCACCAGGAAATGCCTGCAAGCAGAGGTCCAGGATATCTCCTCCTTGTCAGGGGCATATGGTATGTATTAGTAGTGAGCCTGGAAGTTCTGGCTGTGCATACCTTTTGGGGGTTATTTAGCGGCTAGCCCATGGTGGAGGCCCACTAGTTCAGGATTCTTCATTCTGGGGTCATTCACTCTAAGGAGTCACCTTACCAGGGCAGGTTATTCCATGTCACAGTAAAGTTTGTCACCCATGAAGCACTCACTGTCCTGTCCAGTGGTTCCCGGGATACCACGAGCCTCTGAAATGCACTAAAAAGCACTATGTATCTGTGGAGATAATGATTTAAGTCCTGACTGTTCTTGTAACAACCACAACAAGGGAAGACTAGGCTGCCCAAGTGTGTTACTTCACAATAGTAACTCTTACTTTACAGTTGTGCTTAAAAGCTCTTATGGTGACCCTGTCACTTTCCTGGGGGAGTAGATAACATCTTCTCCTTGGGAACTGAGGTGCTTGTAGAAGACAGTGCTTGTTTTGACATGTGGAAGTCACTGTGTTTGTGGTCAGGACCTTGGTCTTTCTTCCTGCTACTCAATGTTCCTGTTTTGGTTGGTTGTATATAAATGTACATCCGTGTTATTTTTGCTGTGCTGCTTAAAATATTTCTCCGTTTAAGTCTGACTGTATACTTTGCCTAAGTCTTTCAAAAATAAAATTTATGTAAATGTCTATTTTATATAAAACATGCTAAAAATAAGAATTCTGTCTGGCCTCAGTCTCTCAAGTTCTGTGGCTAGAATCCACCAGTAGCCTTTTTGCTGGTGGATCTGAGCTTCAAAAGCAAAGGTGGCCTCTCTCTGTCATCTTTCAGGACACACAGTGACTGCTTCCCACCCACACCAAACTCTACCTCCAGGCCAAACTACCTGCTGCTAGCTTGGTAGGTGCAGATGGGAGTTAGAAAGCAAGGGCTCTCTGGCAACATCCTGTACTCCATCCACAGGCGTACCTGGACCCAACCCTATCTTACCCGCAACTTTGTCCTCTCCATTAACGTCTTTTACTGGTACTGTCTTAAAGCTGCCTAATGGGTGGGGACACATTCATTCGATCACTAGCACAAAAAGGGGAGAAAACACCGAAATCTCCACCAAAACCCAGGAAAAGTCCTCTCTTTAGTCCTCCATTTTGTCAATAACTGCTAGGTTCTTTTCCACCACAATCATGCTTTTTCCCTAGTGACCTGCCATGTTTGCTCAGGACTGTTTGTCACACCACAGGAAAAAAATGCCTCTCCTGTCCCCCAGCAACCATTACCTGCCTTTATATCCTCAGGGAGAGAGGGCATCACAGACACTGCTTGGGTCTTGTGCTGATCACCAAACTGCTGAGAGTACAAGAAAGAGTACAGCCACACTTTCTGAATAGGAAATTGCTACTGACCAACTCTAGGGAAGATGTGTCCAAACCAAAGGCAAGATATTCCGTGTGCCACAAGTTCACTCAGGGCAGCCCAGACCCCTCCCTGCGACTAATGTTCTTTTCTTTTACTTATCCCCATGTTGTGTTATTTTAAATATCATCGCACTGTTTCTCTACTACTGTAGACAGTTTCTACTTGCCATTCATTATCTTTGTCATAATCCAGGCAAACCTGACCCCGTCTCTCACGCACCTGAGCATGGCATGGCAGGTGTCTGTAACCTGGCCCTTTAAAAGAAAAACCCCACCCACTTCCTCCCCTCCCCCCTGTTCCTTACAGCCCCCCCTCTCTCCTTTCTTTTCTCTCACCCCTTTTCCCTTCCCTCTCTAATGAAACTTCCCACTCTGCCTGGCATTTTTGTCCCTCACCCGCCATGGAACCCACCAAGGTCCCCCATGTATTTTGTTCCTAACGGTCTTATTAGTGGGCCTGAAGTTATCTAGCCACCTGCCAGTCTGCATCATAATTCATACCGATGGGCTCTTTTCCCATGGATGGAAAGGCTTTGTTAGGGTGAACCTTTGTGGATGAATTCTCTACATTAGGATAGGGTCTCCCATTAGACAGAGGGCTTTCAACTCTGGTAACAACAATCATGACCAGAACTGGATCATGGCGCCCCTGCAGTTACTAAGCAACACAGCTGCCCAGCTGCGGATGATAGCTTTACTCCAAAGGCTTTTGGGTGGGTTTTATATTACCTCTTACTGAAAAAGAATGTTTAGACTGTGTTCGACTCTGAGTGTCATTGGAAAACAATGTTCACCTGGGGTAAATGAGAGCTCGGTGGAGTGGGTGGGTGGGTGGGGTGTGCAATCCTCATGGCACTGGGGAAAGAAAGCAGAACTCTGGGAGGAATAAGTTAGCCAGCCACTAGCCAGCCAGCTCACAGTGGGATGCTTCCAGGAGGGGACACAAGCCTGGAAGGTGAATATTGTACCACCTCTGCCCCAAGCCCACTGCCTCATTTCTGTGGACTTGGATCATGACAATCAAGTAACACTCTTTGGGTGCCTGCACCTGAACTTGCCATTTTGAGTCTACTGCTTCCATGTGTCTGCCCTCCCAACTTCAAGAGACAGTGAAGCCCTGGGCGGAGGGGCCCAGGATTGTTGATATATGCAATGTCCTTTCAGGCTTGCCCTTTGAGTCTGATCAAATATAACTCAACTAATAGTCTGGCTTTTATTCCTTTCCCATCCTCAGCGTAACTTATTACCATACAGTATTGATGGAGAAAATACTGACATGATACCCTACTAATGAATTATTATACTCACCTTAAACAACAGATCACACAGCATTGGCTCAGGCTGTTGAAGTGGATGGTAGACACTACAACCCAGGAAAGTAGTGAGTGTGAACATTCTTGAGGAGCAAGAGCTTGGACAGGCTTCTTAGAGGCCCAACAGCAGTTAAGCCTTGAATCTCCTGTTTTGAGAAGTGCTCACTTGCATCTAGCGTGGATTCCCGGGTTCAGTGCCACCGTCTCTGCATCCTACTGTAGTCTGCAGATTTCAGGGGTCTAATATTTCAATCCCAATAACCACCTCCGTTCCTCAGATCTGTTGCAAATCCCATGGGGGATTTGGGGCTTACTGCTACGGAGCCTCCTCCTTAGAGCCTGGTGGTCCTGGCATCTTTGGTGCAGACTCAGCTCTCTAACCTTGACACACAGGAGGGGACCTTCAGCCATGGGGACACCTCTCCCGGGGCCAGGTTGGGGCAGGAGGCACTAGGAAACCCAGAATGACCAGGTTGACAGTGAAGAGAATGATCATGAGAGACACCTGAACCCGGAGGTGTGACAGGTGCAGCCCCGTGTTGCCCTGAGAGGAATTAAACAGTCATTTGAGCTCACTTCCTCACTTGGTATCAGCAGTCTGTGGGTCAGGAGGGTGCAGAGCTCTCATGGAGCCTCTGTCGTGGAATGGACTGCTGCTGGCGACCTGTAACCCCCAGAACCTAGTAGGTGAGTGAAGGCCCCTGGATCTGCCACCAGGTGAGGCTCACTCTCCATGGCTTGCTCGCTCTGGATTTCCTATGGTTGCAGTCACTATGGGCCCATAAATTCCCAAAGGAAGGCCTGTCTTGGTGGAATGCTCTCATCTGGGGATTTGGGGCTTTCTACTACGGAGCCTCCTCCTTAGAGAGCCTGGTGGTCCTGGCATCTTTGGTGCAGACTCAGCTCTCTAACCAAATCTAGTGCCAGAGGTAGGGCTGTTTCTCTCCTGTCCTGGGCCTTGTCTTGTTAGGGCAGCGTGGGGCCAGTGGCAGGGCTCTGAGCAACCTGAGCTGCCTGTGGGGTGTTCCTGCAAGAATCCCAAGGAAGTTAAGGAGGGGGGGGGCTGTGAAAGCTGAGTGACTTCAGAGTGTCTGTGCCAGGCCTGGGAATCTGACTGAAATCTTGACAAAGTGGATCTGTAAGCACAGGCTCTGTGTGCCGAGTATAGCCACCTGTGTGTGCTTCTGCGGCGCTGAGGTGAGAAGCACACACATGCATGCAAGTACCCAGAGGTGCCAGAAGAGGGCATCAGAGCTCCTCCAACTGGAGTTAGGCACTTGAGAGCTGCCATGAGGGTGCTGGAAACTGAACCCTGATCCTCTGGAAGTGCAGCCAATGCTCTTGACTCCTGAACCGTCTCTCCAGCTTCCCAAAAAGTACTTAAGACATTTTCCAGGACCCTGTCTTCATGATGTGTTAACCTTGAGTAACCAATTTATCTTTTGCTTCCTTTCTAATTGCTCACCCAGTGAAGACTGCCAGCTGTCTCCCCATAGATCTCATCCCCGCTCCCATGGCTGCCTCACACTTCAAAAATGCTGTTCATAATGTTCCTGCTGCTGTCTTTTTTTGGGGGGGGGGATGTTGTTGTTGTTTTGAAACAAGGTCTCTCTGGGTAGCCTCTGGCTGTCCTGGAACTCACTCTGTAGACCAGGCTGGCCTCGAACTCAGAGATCCACCTGCCTCTGCCTCCCAGGTACTGGGACCAAAGGTGTGCTCCACCACACCCAGGTCCTGCTACAGTCATTTTATTTTGGCTTGTCAGACAAAGTCAAGACAGGTGACCTTGCTACATAAAGGGAAAGAGAGGGGCTGGAGAGATGGCTCAGCTGTTAAAGGCTAGGCTCATAACCAAAAATATAAGGGTAAGAGAGTGAGCAGGAGACTGAAACCCTCCTGTGTTTAACACTGTAATGCTTTATAAAGTTAAACCAAGAGCCAACATGCAGAGGGTAAGTGTCACGCACAGTCTCACACAGTCATTTCTGGAGGCTGACACACAGTAGCTGAAGTAAATCCTACTGAGTGGTGTGCTGTGGATGTGCTGAGCGAACAGATCTGCGCTCTGTGGCACAGATATATCTGATGGGAACAGCAAAAGTCCTAAGGCCAGCACAGCTTCTTGACAAAGATCCTGCAAAGCTGAGCCACGTGATGGCTGCCATGCCACCTTTGGTTTTCTCTCCACCTGCTGCATACTTGGGGTGGGGGCTTTTAGTATTTGCATAATTTGGGGATATTGGATTCATGGAGAATTATGAACCATTTATGCCTTCTCCCAGGAGTACTGCTTCTAAGCTCCCCAGGACAGTCCTGAATGTACCACCCCTCCCCCTTTTAGGGAGATATCCTTATCTACTTGTAGGTCTTCCTTATGCCTTGGAATTTGTGAGACGCATAAAGAAACCAGAAGTCTCTTTGAGACTACGAAATAGTCTTGAAACATCTGTCTCTGTACTTACTTGGGAACAAGATACTCAAAACAAAGGTCAACAAGATTTGGTGGGCTAGAGGAGTTGGCCACAGTTCAGATTGCAAGCCTCTTCCCAGTATACATTCAGGCAATTACATGGCATATACAGCAACAAAGTTAGATTAGATGAAGTTGCCTCAGCCCCACAAAGACTTATATTGATGAGCAAAGTGGAGAGTGAAGACATGATAGAAGAATAAGATGTCAGGACCTCCCTTTCTTAGAAAAGTTAGCAATGCAGAGCCACAGTGGTGTCATCTGACCAGGGAACAAAAGAATGCCAGGATTGGATTTATAAACAAATTTTATAAAGATACAAAAATATAAACATTGTATTATGTCAGAAATTGAATAATAACTGCAGCAGCTTTGGCCTGAGGATTTTTCTTGGCGCTCTGACCATTAAGAGTTAATAACACACTACTTGGGACATGGCCGTCTGCCTGGGCTGACTTGAGATTTTGTTTTGGTCTAGCATCTTTGAAGACACAAAAGCCTGAGAACAGGCTGTCAAAT